AGCTGCTTGGCTTTTAGAAACGGAGACCGCATTAGCACGGACAACATCGTGCTATTTCTCAAGAAATAAGACATTTTTCACTAGGTGGGCTTTACAGGTGATCTAACCTTTCTGTAGAGAAGACGTTAGTGCAGCCACTGAGGTGGCAGGATGGCTGCGGTCTCTGCAAGTTTGCGTGTATTTAGAAAGTACAGAGTGCTTTTTCTTGAAGTCAGAGGTTTTGCAATCCTTCCTGCAGTAGGGTCAAGCAGCCTGTCGGCTGTCCGACTAAGGGAGGTAAGCTGCAAAATACAAACCCTGGTTACTTCTTTAAAATGAAAATACCCAGGCTTGCTGTCTTTTAACCCTCTTTCAGGCATGACTGTTCTGTCAGCCAGGCAGCCTCTCAGGAAGGCAAGGAGCACGGAGGGCTTCAGGTATCCTCCGAGCTTGACAGGGAGACTCTCTCACAAAGAAAATGCTCAGGACATTTTAATTCAGCCTTCGCAATGCAGTACCTGCCAAGAATATTTCCCCATCCTGCTTTCCCTTACTCCTAGCAAGGAGACACCAAAGCCTGCCCTCGGGAAAATACACTGGTAAAATTTAGAAGAACATGAACTAGCAAAGGGAGTATAACTGGAAGACTGTGGAAATACAGAATAATGTGGCTTACGGTGGGATCTACACCGCTGTACATTTTTGAAAGGTGTACAGATTTGTTTCTTTTTCATGATGCCGATTATATATGTTCCCAAATTCCAAGGGGCTGTTTAAAATCCCATCTACTGCATAACTTGGATATTTCCAACACCGTGAGTTTTCTGGAGTATTAATTATAATGCTCGTGCGTGCCAGCTTAGCCCATTTCTGAGCTATACATGATCCCTCTGGCAAACTCTGCCACTGCCTCAGCTCTGACCTACATCTTCTTGGCTGCCTAATTCAGAGCTTCTCCTGCCCGAAGATTGCCCGTCAAAGCGTAGATGCCGAGCTATTTGCTAAGGCGCAGAGAAGCGCTCTGTGACAGATCAAGCTCCTGTTCCCAGAGGTGCCAGGCCACCAGCTGGGAGAGCTGTCTTTCCTTCCTCTCTCCTGACTGACAACCGTCAGTAACCAGCCCTCTAATTCATGCTGCACCGCAGGAACTAAATAAACAACTGCATTAGGCAATTACTGCAATAAATGCCTTCTTTCTTCCCTCATTTCCACTACCAATTTGTTGTTGGAGGCAAAAGACCACCTTGTTGGAGTGGCTTAATTTTTTTAATTGTGAAATAACCACCTCACTGACAGGTGGGTTACGGTACATGTTTAAAAATCCATTTAAATGAACATGAAGTCAGATGGTCTGTAATATAATGCAAATTTGAAAGTCTTTGCTTTTAATTCTGCTGAGCTTTTGCCAAGCTCAGGCATCCTCTATGGCAAACAAAAGATCCTCTCCCATGAAGCCAAAGTGTGTGTGGGTTTTTATCCCATTTTTATCCTCAAACATTTAAACTTTGAAATTGAGCTTGCCCAGTGTATTTAAGCACCCAGGATTTTGCTGCTGAGGCCAGTCCAGCCTACCCAGTGGTGAAGGCAAGGAAGGGAACCTGTGATGGCAGATGTGCTATTTAACTACGCCCAGCTATATGCTGTGCCTTTAGACAGAGATTTGCCTTGTAGACGTAGGTAGATCTTTTCCACAAATCTGATGATAATTAAATTCTCCTGGCAGTCAAAGGCAAAATAACTCAGTAAGCTGACAACACGTTCAAAATTAATTCTGATTTTTAGAGGAGATATCTTTTGGCAAGGTTGATTTTCCTACCAATCTGACTTTTTTTTGACATGCAGCTCACTATTTATTAAGCAATATCAGAGGTTTGAAAATCCACTGAATGCTGTTAAAGCAATTGCAACATTCAGATACATGAGGAAAGTGTGACGTGGTACTGATGTATTTAGCGTGAAAACAGATTTATATCAAAGTAGATGTCTATAGCTGAAAAGTCTAAAACAACTGCAAATTTACACTCATTGCTCTTCAGTCACCTTTGTGTGCATTATACACACATTTTATAATGGGCTTGTGCATGTATTTCGCTTGTATTTAATACATGTATAATTTCTTATTGTAAAAGTTTGTTCAGCCGTTTTCTCATGTGTATCGGGATACACGTGCAACCGAGAGTTGACAACCCCCTGTTTCACAACCCAAGTATTTCTACACATGCCACCTTGAGCTGCAGAGCATCAGCACGCTCTGTGCTTGGCATCCTGAGGGAAAGGCAGCTCCGAAATGAGGCGCCTGAGCCACGCAATGCAGCGTGCCCGAGAGGCACAGCCCTGATGCACTGGCATGAGCTGCCCGCGGCAGTTTCAACATCTCCTGCTCCTGTTACGGGCTGCTGTTACCACAGCAAGGAGAGTCAACAAGAAGAAGAAAGTTGCAAACCAAACCGTTTGTACAGAAGGGAAAAGGACAGGACAGAGATGTTTAAAAACTGATGTCGTATGGCCATGGATCTTTAGGATTGGCAGTCACATCTGCAAAGTCTGCCTGGCCACTCTCCAAAATACTGCCCGCCGCAAGTGGATGGGTATTTGCATGAAGATGCGATGCCTGTCTTTGCCTCTTGTTGCAATTTTCTCTTAGTGTTTGCCACCAAGCTTGGTATATAATAAGCGCACGTGTGGGAACACAGGCAAGTCCCTCAAGGGAAAAAGCAATCCTTGGAGCAGACACAGGTTTCAAAGTCTCCAGTTTTGAAAGGCACTGCAGCAAGATCAGGTGCTTCCACTCACACAGACAGGAGCTAATTGTAGGATCGGTTCTGGCCTACAGGCTCTCTTTTTAATGGTTATGTCCATAAAGTCTTTAACTGCTCTCTGTAGTTAGTGACCACACACACAAAGAGGTCTTTCATTAGCAGCGCTCTATAGGAAGCCAGGGCACCAAGTAAATGATACCTTAATGTTCCCTTTCAAAGCCAGACTGGTTTGACAACAATGCTTGTTAGCGTACCGCCATACGTTCCTCCTGCCCGCCGTCCTCCAGCTTGCAATTAAGCTTACAAACATCTAATATTTAGCTAGCCTCCAAAACTTTGGCAGTAATTGTTTATGAGTTACTTTGGGAAGATGGAAGGGAAGAGCTATGTTTGAAGAGCGCGGCTCCAATTCCATGTTACAGCAAGTGCTCATCAACCACGCCGCTGCCAAGAGAGGTGCGTGCACCCAGCACCCTCAAGGACCGAGCCCCGCAGCTGTGCAGTCAGCAGGCAGGCAAACCCAGCAAGAATTCAGGGGTCCAGTTTATTTTCAGGGCAAAGAATTACCCTTTTGCTTCTGGAAAGTCCAATGGGATTTTTAATGTTCAGCCTTAGGTGTGATGCTGGTTTAAACCTGAGGCAGAGTCTGTTCAGCCGATATTACCACCTATAATGTAGCACAAGTCAGCTCTGGCTATAGACCTCTGTTTCCACCTGCAATATCAACGTCCGTGACTTTGTGGCCCAACGGAGATGGTATTATTCACTCCTGTTTAATTGACTACCGCAGCTTGCTACTTCTGTACCTGAAGTTTCTGGGTCTTTGCTCATTAAATGCGAAGCAAAGAGAGAAACACAAACAGCAACTGTCACAAAGTCCTTTTTTTTCTATTAACTGTGTGCACTAAACTGAACTATCTTACTGACAGCCGATGGTGGAGAAGTTAGAGGCGTTACAGCTGAAAGTATCAGTAAGTATGAAAGTGAACATTGCCAAAGCCTACAAAACCTCTTGTGTATTCAAATTAGCACGTTAAGTGATAGCATGTTAACTGGCAAAGGAAAATGTCCTGTTTCTGAAAGCAGGGGGGCTTCTTCCCCATATAATCTGCTTCCCTCCAGAAAGGAATCTCTGTTTATCCACATTAGTTAGGACAGAGTTGTGTTTTGGTAAGTCAGTCCTATTTTTACAAGGAAGTCCTATTTTTATAAGGGACTGTACTTTTCAGAGACTTCATATCAAAATTCATCTTCTTGGGGGAGTAGAAGCAAAGGACTGCATGAAAAACAGAAGGCAAGAATAACAAAGACTACACTTGCTGAGTCATGTGCAAATATACCTCAATATTTTCATCATTATTTAATTTGAGGCTCTTCTGATATTTTACAAAATGCACTTTTGACAACTTAGATTATTAAGGGGGATTTTATGTACCCAGCCTAGTTTGAATGATGTGACTACAAATACTTGAAAACACCAAAAAAAAAAAAAAGAAAAAAGGGAAAAAGCCCACAAGTGAATACTAAGTAAACATATTTAAGTGAATACGAAGTAAACATATTTAGAACCATTGAAAAAGAAGGTAATTCTTCATCACTTCTTCCATGGATTTTAAGTTGCATTCTACATAACTGAAATACAGGCTGATGGAAATGTGATATAAATATTTTTATTTTAGTTTTTGGGAAAAATGGTGGAGGTTTTTTTTTTCAGCTTGCAAAATTAGCATTCACAAAGCCAGACAGCCAGGTGTTTTGTCTGTAGGAGATAAGCATCTCATCTCTCTCCCAGCTTTGTTTGACAGATGAGCATTATCCCATCACTTTCAAGGCATATCAGCCAAATTGAGATCTTCCAGCTGCACCCTTTGGAGCAGATCAGTAAAATGGTGCGTGGGAAGTATACATTAGTAACGTAGCTGTCTAAAGCATTGTTGGAGATACTTATGTTTGGAAAAGCTAGCTACAAATATATGATACAGATCATCCTAAATAAGAGTTGGACTGTAGTTACATGGCCTATTTTCTGTATCAGCAAAGCCAGCTTAGGAAACCCTTGCTTTCCTTTGTCTTCCCCCACGTTCTTAGCAATGTATATTAGGCTTTTTGACATCTTAGAAAGGCAATATCACCCTCTGGAAATCCTGTGCTTTCCACTGACCACAGAGGGAGCCCAGATGACTAGCCTGCACTAGAAGTCAAAGTGCGAGACAGTTAAAACAAGGTGATTATAGGAGATAAACCCCCAGAGGAGGGAGCAAGTGCTGAGGCTGTGCTGTTAGGCTATGAACTTCTGGTGGGTCCTTCCAGGTAAGCTAGTGTTGTATCTGCCAGGCATTCAGCACTAAGTCCAGACTCTGACCTGAGCTTTAGTACCGCTAGCAGAAGCCAGCTGCCAGCACTCCTCATTTCCCCACAAAAGCTTTAGCGTGCGCAGCTCTGCTCACAACCTGGCGAGTAGATGGGAAATCTGGGAAATCTACTGAGTTTCAATGGGCAACAACAGGAATGCCTACGAAATCTTTGTGCTCCAAGACCCATCTACAAACCACAGGAGACAGTGCTGTCAGAGTCCAGATGACAGAACTGTGGGTGACCCAAGCCCATGAGAGATTGGCTTTTGATTTCACTAGGACCAGGTTTTAACTGTGCTTCTGTCATGACATAACCAGACCCTATTATATTCCTTATAACTTTCCAACTGGCCGTGCAACATTTGTCCTGTTGAAGATACCCTGGTGCCTCAGCCAGGAGAAGGCACGATGCTCTGGTTCTGCCCTCATTTGCACAGGCTCAACACTGCTCCCTAGTATGTCCCATTCCTCTGTCTCACCCTTCATCACTGTCAGGATGTTCCTCAGGCCCCTTTTTTCCGTCTTATCCTTTCCCTGCAAGCCTTGCCTGAAATCTTTATCATAACACCTCTTGACACATTCGAACCACTGTATTATTGTCAGATGTTCTGGTCATCCCAAATCCGGCAACTTGTGCCACACTCCTGTGAAGTGACACATCTTCCATGTCTTGCTTTGACAACTCGGCACTGGGCAGCTGAAGTCTATTTTTAAAAGTGCTAAAAATAATTGTTTGTTTTGTAGTGAAAATCAGGATTAAGCTGCTCTTCTATGCTAGGAATCTGTAGGGTTTCCTGGAGGGAGTTGGAGACTTGCTCCTGCAAAGCTATTTTTAGAGCATCCAAGACAAGTTCCATAAACACGTACTAAACAGAATTTTTTGCAAGTGGAAAGCAGTGCTTTTTAGCACATTTGGTCCCTTCTTTTTTTCTGGGTTGGTGCTCATTTGCTGTTGGAACTTTCTCCACAAAAGGGAAGAGACAAGAGGCAACAAGTTCCCCATCGCCTCTCTCCCTTTTTTCCTCTACCCTCGATGGCAAAGACACTCCTCCTGCATTTTCAAAGGATATCCCAGGTCTGGATATTACGAACTCAGGGCTACTTTCTTCTGGAGTATTTCTGACAGTCTGCTCCCTCCTGAGAACATGGGGCAAAAGACAGTTGCAGACTGGCTGCAGCAGAGGTGACCGTACTGCTCTGCTAATAACCTGGCAATCAAGGGGAGCTGTGAAACACAGGGGACCAGGCAGATGCACTTGACAGGCTGGTGGGCCTTTCTTCTCAAGTTATCGGTGACTGTGAGAAGAATCCCATCTCCTCCTCCTTCCCCACATATGAACTATACAGCCGTACTAAATAAATGTCCCAGGAAAGAGCTGGAGCTGCCCACAAACATTTCTGCCACTCCTGGGCTGATGCTCCAAATCTCACTTTTCAGCGAGGCTGCATACAGAGTTCTTCTATTTGCTCTTTATTGGGGGGATATTTTAAAATTATCCTCCAGGCAGCAGCAAAAGCAGTAGCAGATTATGCTAGCCTCCATCTTAATAATCTGGAAGTTTAAAGTGGTTTGTCTACAAAAACAGCCAGGTGGTTTGTCTACAAAATATTTTGGAACTAGAAGCACCCAGCAGTATGTGCAGCTTAGAAAAGGACTATTTTCCTAACAAGCTTTCCCACAGCAGTGTTGTCAGTTCTCAGTGCCTTTGTATGCCCATGGATCTCCTTCGGTAACTTTGGCTCCCTCATGCTGCCATTCTCCCCCTGATGTTGCAGGCTCCAACAGGGCATCCCTGAATACTTCAGAACTTGATGATACACAGGATAAAACACCTTCATGCCATTCGCTGGTAATTTCCTTCATTACACTTGCCTGGCCAGCGGGGTGCGCTTCCCTCCAACACCTGCGGTGCAATTCTCCTGCTGGTTGTAGGGCACCGAATCACACATTTCGTAAGGGCAACTTCTGCTCTTGCAACTGGCCCAAACTCTTAGGAAGGATGCTGGTTACATCTACAAAGACAAGCCATGCGGTGTGGAAACTCCCTTCCCATTAAACATTTTCCAATAAGGACATTTTCCTTCTAAAATGATCCGTTAAGATTAGGAGTGAAAGGTGAACCGCTGCTCCTAAGCAAAGACTTCATGGGTATGTCTGTGAAGAGAAGGTTTTGAAAGTTGGTCACCTTCACATCTATAGTCCCAGTTTAAACAGGTGATGACTGAAGGAGTGGAAAACAGTGCTCAGTAAATATAAAAATAGATATAGCAGGGTGAAAAGGAGGAACAGAGCTTAGAAATGTTTACTAAAAATTTAGTGGCACTAGGAGTTGGGGACACATGTAGGATTCGGCAAGACAGAGGTGGTGGAATGGTTTGTTATGGATGTTTTGACTTTTGTTACTGACTTTTATATGAATACAGCATCATTAGGAAATTTGGGCCAGGTTTCACATCCCCATGGTGCCATGTGGAAAACCAGAGCTTTGATTATGAGCATTTGCCCAGCATTTCTGGAAGGCTCCTGTTCAAGATCTGGTATGACTCAGAAACTTTTTCATATAGCTGCAAGGTGTGTTAAGGAGTCTTGGGACATCAGAGAGTGGGTTACTCTGCCTGGGCAGAAAAAGCTGCTCTGTGGTTCATGGAACAAGTCACTGAACTCTCAGTCTCCTCCTGTTTATTGATGAGGAACTCAATGACAGAAAGGTGTACGGCAGTACTTTGGAGTCTGCCAACAAAAAGATATGCATGAGGGCAGCACGAGGGCTCTTCTTAATACCTACATTGTTCACTCTTGCAATTTTTTTGTCACTAATTAAATACCTGAGTCACAAATAATGCAAGGATTGGGTTGGGTTTTGGGGGTTTGTTTGTTTTTTTTTACATGCACACTTTATTTTCATACTCCTTTCTTTTCTATCCAGCTCTGTAAGCTTTTCCTTTTAACACTTCTGCCTCAACTTTTGGCAACACCTGGATCACATACTTAATTTGCTTTTTATCTCATCAGCTTGTTGGCTTTAAACAACTGACACACTCCATCAAAGGAAGAAAAAAACCAAAACAAGAACCCTATTAACCTCTGTTACCCATATAAACTAATTAATTCTAACCCCTCCCCAATTATCTCTGGAGAGGGGAACAGCTTTTATTAGCTTCCTGCTCTTTTTCCACCCCTCCTCCCTGTGGCTGCTTGCCTTGCTCCTGAGGAGCGAGGCACTGACGTGCCCCCATCCGCGGCTGCCCTGGCAGCCCCGAGGGCTCTGCAAGTGCCCGGCTGCCATGAGATACTGAGCCCTGCGTCCCTGCTTGGTCACGGTGCCCTTCGGGTGCCCGGGGGAAGGAGAAGAGGGTGATTTTTCACTACAGCTTTTGGTCGCACCTGATTGTTCGGCCCACAGTCAAGGGTGGTGACCCTTAGCTTCTGACCTCGGATTACGTTTCAGGTTTTAAATGGGCTTCCCATCTGCTGATTAAAGCTTGTTTGTTCAAAGCGAAAGGATTAAAAAGAGTAATTATAATCCTGCTAATTTAAGTGATTCTTCATGCTAAACCATGCCTGCATGCATAGACATCTGTGAGCACACGTGCCTGGGATGGTTTTTGTGTGCATTTGTTTTAAACCTGTGCCAGCAGAGAGGGAGACAAAGATTATTAACTGGCTGCTGTTAGTCCTCTCTGTGCCATATATATGTCAACACACACAATCGTTCTTCCTTTTTCATTAAGAACTAACCAAAAGCAGTGAGGCATTTCAGTACGCTAAGCTCTTGCTTCTGAATTGTTATTCAACAAGTAACCTGACACGAAAGGTGAGATTAACTGTGGCTATCCTATCTAGCTCCACATAGCTTTTTGGTCATCTCTTTCATCAAACGCAGCCATAATGACACATTTCCAATGCACTGTATACCAAAGACAGATATTGTGCATGTGGAAGCAAGTAACGTGGACTAGTATCTACTTATTGTACGTAGGCGAAGGGGCTCTCGGCAAGAGTCCGGTAAAGCAGAAGGCAGCAAGTAGGGGAAACTCTGATGGGTGCGGAAGAGATTGTCAATAGCAGGTCTGGGGCTGTAACGATCCCGATCAGTATCACGCAAAACAAGTGGATCAATTCAGAGCTCAAAGCAAGAGGGAGGTACAGGGCTCTGGTCTCTTGGCAACTCCCTCTCAGCTATTTTGTGCCAAGGAAGGTGTCAGATGGACAGTCCTGGAAACTGAGCTCCTCACTGCATCTGGGCAGGGCAGACAGCCCGATGCAGACCCAACTAAAACTCAAGGCATGATTCATAGTTACCTAGAAGGGCTTTGGGCTCAGTCCTAACTTGGTCCAAAAGTTGTTTGAGGGACTTCTCAACGTGCTTCATGACCTGGGCCAGGAGAGATGTCTGGATCAGGATTTGGCAAAGCCCCAGGTGAGCCAGTGCCTGGAGTGGGGTCTGTGGTCCCTCTCCAGTAAATGCCCATGGCGCACCCAGAGCTGCCGGGCACAGACAGAGAGGGCCCATGTGGCTATGGCCAAAGCACAGGGTTCAGTCAACCTCATCCTAATGGTGTCAATCATAAAGATACCCATTTCTCGAAAATATCCCGCTAGCACACTCTGGGGGGCAACAGGTATTATACTGTTTTTTCTCCAGGAATAGGTATCTGGGCAGGCTCTACAGAGCCTACAAGGTTTTGCTTTTGGTTTTGTTGCCCTTCCATTACCAGCTGAGCAGCAGCACTGCAGAAACCTGCCTTGCCTTCCTCTCTACAGGGACGACTCAGGTTTATTCCATCCCAGGGTGTATGACACTCTAGTATTACCACTTAAGTAACTAAAAAAATACGGAGTGAATCTGATGTGCAGCCATTATAGAAGTGGCCCACATTACGAGGAGCCTAGCTTTGATGTGACATCGCGGCCACAGCAAGTCTCTACCCACTCCATCTGGGCTGCTGAATTTGAGCGTTTTTCTTCTAAGGATGCAAAGTTGATCCAAATCCAGGTGGTCCCTTCACCCCCCAGCTCACGTGAGAGCATCCCTTAGAAAAATAACTGCCAGCCCATCCTCCTCTTTGCTTTTTTTCTCTCCTGTCTGTGTTTCCCCTTTCCTGCCCCTGGGACCAGGGTGCTCAGCCTGCTGCCGGCCAGAGATGCTCTGGGAGGGAGCTGGGCAGCCACCGGGGTGGTGTTACCATGTAGGATGACCCCGACTCCTCCCCGTGGTGCCTGCCCACAGGAGGCTCAGCATGCTGGTGGTGCCAGGGTCTGGCCGAAACAGCCCCTGTCCCACCCCCATGGCGGTCTCTCTCACAATGCACGGGCTTCCCCAGCTTGTGCCTGCACGACGAGTGTCCCCATCTTTTGCTCCGCACTCCGGCTCCATGTGAGAGTGCAGCAGCAGCGAAATCAAGGC